AAATTCAAAGTCGATTGAGTGCTGAAATTGTGGGAAGATCAGGCACCATATAAACTAACGCAAGAGTGCACCAAAGAATCCGGAGGCAAAAGAAGAGGCAAATGTTGCTTTAGCCTCTGGAGGAGATTTGTCGATATGTTCTTTAAAGAACAAAGAGGAGTTTTGGGTGTTAGACTCTGGAGCATCTTTTCATGCTACCTCACAGAAGGAACTATTCGAGAATTATGTTCATGGAAATCTTAGTAAAGTTTATCTTGGTAATGAGCAATCATGTCAGGTTGTAGGAAAAGGTTCAATAAAAATCATGTTGAACGGGTCTGTATGGGAATTGAAAAATGTTAGACATATTCTCGACTTGCCGAAGAATTTAATCTCAGTGGGTCAGCTAGCCCGTGAAGGCTACACAACAATCTTCCATGGTGATGATTGGAAGATTTCAAAGGGTGCGATGACAATTGCTCGAGGCAAAAAGAGCGGTACTATTTACAAGACAATAAGAGCATGTCATCTGATTGCAGTTGCATCAAATGAAAATCCCAATCTATGGCATCAAAGACTTGCGCATATGAGTGAAAAAGGGATGAAGATCATACACTCAAAAGAAAAATTACCAAGCCTTCAGTCAATAGAAATTGACATGTGTGAAGATTGTATACTTGGAAAGCATAACAGAGTCAGCTTTCAGACAAGTAGAAGAACTCCAAAGAAGGAGAAGATTGAGCTCATCCACTCTGATGTTTGGGGTTCAACGATTGTCCCATTTGTTGGTGGGAAGCAATATTTCGTGACTTTTAATGATGATCACTCCAAAAAAGTATGGGTTTACTTTCCGAAACACAAATCATAAGTATTTGAAGCTTTTAAGTTTTGGAAAGATATGGTGGAAAATGAGACTGGATTGAAGATTAAGAAGCTCAAATCCGACAATGGTGGTGAATATGTAACCACCAGATTCAAGAAGTTTTGCTATGAGCACGAGATAAAAATAGAGAGAACCGTGTCTGGTACGCCTCAACTCAATGGTGTAGCTGAGCGTAGGAATCGAGCATTGACTGAAAAAGCCAAAAGCTTGATGTGTAGCATATGTGCACATCAGTGATCAAGGTAGAAACAAACTTGATCCAAAATCAAAGAAATAAACTTTCTTTGGTTATGGTGAAGATGAGTTTGGCTACCACTTATGGAAAGATGAAGACAAAAAGATGATCCGCAGTAGAGAAGTCATCTTTAATGAAAGAGTGATGTACAAGGACCGGCATAACACAAGTGCCAACAACTCAGAAGCGAGTGAGCCAGTTTATGCAGAGGTGGAAGATATCACATACATTCTTATAATAAAGAATCCTCGGTCAGATGAATCAAATGAAGAAAGCGATGAGCAATCAAAACCTTCTACTCCAACTCTTGCATTGAGAAGGTCCTCTCGGCCCCATGTGCCTAACATGAGATACATAGACTACATATTGTTGACTGATGGAGGAGAACCTAAAGATTATATGGAGGCTTGTCAAACCACAAATGCTAGTAAATGGGAGCTTGCCATGAAGGACGAGTTGAAAGTCTTTGATCTCAAATCAGACATGGGAACTAGTGAAGTTACCTATGGGAAAGAAAACACTTCATAACAAATGGTGTATCGAGTGAAGGAAGACCATGATGGTTCCAGGATATACAAAGCCCGACTGGTTGTTAAACGATTTTAGTAGAAAGAAGGAGTTGACTATACTGAATCTTTGTTCCAGATGTAAAGCTCAATATTATCAGGATTGTGTTAAGTATTGTGGCTAGTGAAGAGCTCTATCTATAGAAATTAAACGTGAAGACTGCATTTCTTCACGGAGACCTAAATGACGACATCTATATGCATCAGCCTAAAGGTTTTTTAGAAGGAAAGAATGATATGGTGTGCAAATTGAAGAAGAACTTGTACGACCTGAAACAAGCTCCAAGACAATGGTATAAGAAGTTTAAAAGCTTCATGCACAAAGAAGATTTCCAGAAGTGCAATGCTGATCACTGTCGCTTCTTTAAAAAGTATGAGTCCGCTATATCATCTTGCTACTTTATGTTGATGACATGTTAGTAGCGGGATCAGATATGAAAGACATCAGAAAATTAAAGGTGCAATTGTCAAAAGAATTTGACATTAAGGACCTAGGCCCAACATATAAGATTCTTGGAATCACGAGAAATAAGCAAAAGGGAGTTTTGCAGTTATCTCAGGCAGAGTACATCAACTATGTTTTGCAGAGATTTAACATGGATAAAGCCAAACCAGTTAGTACACCTTTGGCTAGTCATTTTTGACTTTCTAAAGATTAGTCTCCTCAAACAAAGAAGAAGAAGAGTTTATGGCTAAGATTCCTTATGCTTCAACCATTGGAAGTTTGATGCACGCGATGAGTCTATACAAGGCCAGACATTGGCCATGCAGTGGGAGTTGTTAGCAGGTTTATGTCAAATCCACGAAAAGCTCATTGGGAAGCACTTAAATGAATTTTGTGATATCTACGGGGTACAACAGAAATGTGTCTGACTTTAGAAAATAAGATCTAAAGTTACATGGCTATGTAGATGCTAACTTTGGAGGTGAAGATGATAACCGAAGAAGCACCACGAGTTACGTTTTCACTATCGGAGCGACGACTGTTAGTTTGATGTCGCGGATACAAAAAGTTGTGCTTTATCCACTACAGAGGCGGAGTATGTACCTGTGACAGAAGCCAGTAAAGAATCGATATGGCTTCAAGGATTGTTAGCAGAGTTAGGTTTCACTCAAAAAGGAAGTGTCTTGCACAAAGACAGTCAGAGTGAAATACATCTGGCAAAGAACTTAAAGGATGATTGGATATAAATTTTTTTTGGTTTTGTTTGGATTTTTTTGTTTGATTTGGTTAGTTTTGAAAAAGTTGGTATGGTTAGTTGTTAGTGGATATATTAAAATAATATTTAAAATTAAATGATTAAGGTTGATTTGATGTAAAGTAAGAGAGAAGAGATTTGAAGTGATGGTTAGTTAAAATTATGTGAGTAGATGAATAGTGAATTAAGGTGATGTGGTGTGTAAGAATGATTGATTTGATATTATTTAATTATATTGATAATATTGATGATAGTGTGGTTGAGTTAAAGTTGAGTTATAAAAATGGTTGAGTTAAAAATATTTAGATTTTTTTTGAGATAATTTTGTATTCAAGCATGCTCTTAGTGTTTCACTCCAGAACTAAGATCATTGACATACGATACCATTTCATCAGATCTCTTCTTGAGGATGAAGTGTTGACTTTGAAGAAGATTGTACGAAACAAGAACCCAACAGTTATGCTAACGAAGGTGGTGACCATTGACAAATTGAAGTTGTGCTCAACTTCAGTTGGGCTGCTAGAATAACAGACCTGAAAACAGTGTTTTAAATAGCGCAATTTTGCGCGCTACGAAGCGCGCTATAACGCATTTTTACCCAAAAAGGCGACATAGCGTATATAATTTCGCACAGTTCCAGAAAAGCGCACGCAATTTACGCTATATTTTGTGCTATTTACGCTATATTTTGCGCTATTTACGCTATTTGCGCTATTTCTCACGCTATTTGGTCAATCCTTATTTATAGGCAAAAAATAAAATAATAAAATACAAAAAAACAAAAAAACGTAGGACACAAAATTGAGTAATTTCTTCCGTGAAGAATTTGAGTGATTATTAGATCATGTTTCTTATTTCTCTTGAAAAAAAATATTTAAAAAATTGATATCAACATAGCTATGATTGACCTTTTTGGACTATTAGAATTTGGTGAAATTGTACCAATTATTTTTTGTAGTAAAATTCCCCATAACTTTGATAGAATTGACGATGATAGCTAAATTCAATTGGATAACACCGATCATTTTAAGATTTTGAGTCTTTACTTTAAACATTAAGCTTTGGTTGTTTGAAGAATTAATATTTGAGTGTCATTTTTTAGATTCAATGTCCAAGTTAATTACGGTTTAAGGCCATTTTAATTATTTATTTGCTTGTATGGTTATATATTATTATTTTTGGCATTAAATGTGAATTTCTTGAATAGCTTACGCAATGCGCTACTCTATTTACGCTACGCAATATAAGGACCAAAACACGACGCATTGCGTGATGCGCGTTTTAAAACACTGCCTGAAAACACTACTGCAATAATTGAAGTGTGAGGACAGATTGAAATCAATCCTCAAGTAGGAGATTGTTGAGTTAAGAAAAATGGCAGCAGCCCCTTTCTTTGAAAGCAACACCCCTTTTCTTTGACAACAACAAAAGGAGAAACAAGGCAGCAGCCTACAATTGGAGAATTTGGAGTGCAATGTCTATAAATAGAGGGATTTTGATGAACACACAACACACTAAAATTTAAGAAAAAGAAAGATAGTGAGCAAGAAAAATAGTTTAGACTTTGGGTGTATTGTGAGCGAGTTTGAAAGTGTTTTGTAAACACAGGTGTATTTTTTTCTCCTAATAAAATATCCGCAGTAGTCCGGAGACACTTGCTATACCATGAGCCGTGAGCATCAAGCTCCATCTCTATCTCATCAAGAGTGTAGACATTATTGGCCGAACTCCGTTATCAATTTGATGTATCCAATTTTTTCCTTTTATTTCGCTTTTATAGATTCGACTTCATGAAAAATTCAGCGTATATTTCTCGACATTGTCAACCTCTCATCCGGTGATTGTGCACTTATAAAGATGATAGAGCAAATTTGCTAAATGATGTAAATGGGTTGTGTATATGCAATAAAACTGTTGTTGGATTATTAAGTGGAGTAAATTGTCTAATGAGATTGCAAACAACCACCTAATACGTATCATCCTCCTTCCTACAAAGATAATAAAACTGCATACTAATGACAACGATAAGAACAGAAAGTCACAAGATAAGAAAATTGCTCATATAATCTTTCCTCACCTCAATCGGCAGTGGACATGACACAAGAGCAAAATTCGTGGTAATTGACCGCAAGATAAACATGGCTGACGGGTTTTGCATCCGACAATTGTCTGGCCCCGGAGTTTATGCTTGTGTTCCGGCGCCGGCGGCAATCCCCTTCTCTTTCCCCACTCCATTTTCAAGAATAGTTTGTCGGTACAGAGCATCTCGCTTGCGTAGGCTGGTTTTAGGCATTGGGTTCTCACTTATGGCTGCTCCCAGTTTCGGCCCCAAGTCTTTCATGGCGTACGCCAGGCAAAAAGGTGCTGTTGACAAGGTATGCGAACGATGCGTTCTGTTAATTTGTAAACTCGTACTTCGTTTGGATTAGGTTACTGAGCATTCCTTGTCTGAATAATCTTAAATATGTTGAGACTTGGTTGCTTAGTCCGATGAGGATATTGGTTCTCTTAACTGTGTATAGCAAAAGACTTATTCTTATCCAAATGAAAATGCCTGTTATTGGTGTTACTACATTTGGGAAGTTAGTTAAATTTGCTATGTTCTGAGCATATGTTAAGTTTCCTGACTTTGCCAAACAAACAAGATTGTTGTTCAATGATAAATCAAATGACAAATTTTAGTTGTTTTTCCTAAGTATTCAGCTTCGGTGTTTTCAGCACCTTATTTTCCATCTGCAGCTCAGTTTCTGTTTTTTTTTTCTATGTGGACAATTTCATGATAAATTTGTTGGATTTCTGTTTCTGGTGTGGGAAGGTGTTGGAGAATGTGGAATGGCCGGAGCAATTTCCCTTCAAGGAAGAGGATTTTCAGCGTTTTGACGAGTAATGTCTCTTTAAGCGCCGCCCCATCAGTTAGTTTTTCAATGTTATGCTTGCCCGTACCATACACTTTCACCAAAACGTGCTTTAGAGTTTTTGATTTACTGCATCGTACATAAAATCTACATGTGCTAGGTTACTTGTAATATCGAAAGGACTTTACGGTAAATGTGGTCATTTAGTTGTGTGGCATAATTTTATGACCCTAACTTTGTTAAAAGTTTCAAGTTCATGACGATGAATATTTTGAAGAGAGTAGTGGCCGGGGAAGGAGTGACGTGGCATCCCAGGATAGATGAAAATCAAAATTCATCCCTGAGGTTTGGAGTTATTAGGAAAAACACCCGGAATTGTTTTCAACATCAAAGTTATTTTTTCTTTTTCAGGACACCCGATATAATGTTCTATGAATCTCCTCGTTTTGTGACTCATATTGATGATCCAGCTATTGCTGCACTCACTAAGTACTACTCGGAGGTTTTTCCCCCGAGCAATACTCCTGGAGTTGCTATGCTTGACATGTGTAGCAGCTGGGTGAGTTAACATTTACCATCTTCAGATTGCTCAGAGTTTTGTTTTTGTTAAAGATGGCATGACTATTTTCATTTCACTAGGTCAGTCATTATCCCAAAGGGTATAAGCAATCAAGGATAGCTGGAATGGGGTTGAACGAAGAGGAGCTAAACCGGAATCCTGTGAGAACATTATTATTTGGTTTTTTTGTAATTTTGGGATATTTTAGTTTGCATTTATTATCTCTTGTAGATATTATCCTTGTGTCGTCATGTTTATTTGTAGGTTTTAACCGAATACGTTGTGCAAGACTTAAACGTTGATCCTAAACTCCCTTTTAAAGACAACACATTTGATGTCATTACGAATGTGGTATGCCTATCTACATCAATATCTTTATTTTTACATCTTTTTTTATATGCTCATGCACACTTTTCAGTGTTGACGATTTTGATTTAATACGTTTCAGGTTAGTGTTGACTATCTAACGAAGCCTATTGACGTGTTCAAGGAGATGTCTCGCATCCTCAAACCAGGTGGACTTGCTATTATAAGGTGATAATTACAATATTAATATGGTGTAAAAGCATGTCATGGAGATTACATAAATAGCAGTTGATTCAGAATATCTTCTGTAATGAAGGTTTGGTATATGTAGTGGATTTTATATTGCTGATACTTTTTTCGGGTATTTTATCGAACCCTCAGTTTATTTTGTACTTGAATTTTTGCCCACAAGCTTCTCCAACCGGTGCTTCTTTACAAAGGCAATCTCGATCTGGACATCAACTGGAGATGCTGATCATGTAATGATAGTAGGAGCATATTTTCATTATGCTGGAGGATTTGAGCCACCTGAGGTAATTTTCCATTTCCATATTTTTTCGACAAAATCATTTTATCAACTAAATATATGGTGCATAACGTAACATAACTATATATGCCAACACAAAACATAAATCATAGACATATAATTAAGTCCCGGGTTCTTGCCTTGCAGTAGCTAATTACTGACATAGATATATAACTACAAGAATGAAAAATAATGATGATATTATTCTTTTAACAGCATATGTAAGTGTATGCCTTATGATGTGCTTGTGAAGTGTATATATATATATTTTTTTTTTCTAGGCTGTGGATATATCTCCAAACCCCAGCCGCACAGATCCTATGTATGTGGTGTACTCGAGAAAATTTGCAGACTGAGGATCAGACGGAACTGAGATTTTATACGCAAATTATGTCTTTGGAATATCTTTCCTCTGAACTTGTGTTTGCTAATGTGGAACTCTATATAGAAAGAGATTAATCAACACATGGCTTTGCCACATGCCCAAATGACTGGTACCATCCAAGATCTCCATTGGGAGTCTAATGTACTGAATCATCATCTTTCTGAGAATGAATAAAGTGTTAAAAGTTGGGTACACGCACAACACGTGGATACTAATGTAATTATTTTATTATATTAACAAAATAATTACACAAATACAATATATACCAAAATAAATATTTTACTTATCAAGACCAAAACACACACTAATTATTTTATAATACACACTCCCACCCACTCAATATAATTCTCACGCATTCACACTCAATAACACTCACTCACATTCACTCATTGGACACACACCTAATTACAACATTATTGTATATTTATACTACAACAAAGTCGGTGGACTAACCGACATAAGAATTTCTTCACAACTCTAGAACCATCACATTACTCCTAACATTGTTTAATAAATTTAATATTGAAGTATCTAAAATATCTATGCATCTTCTTATTTCTTTAATCCACCTAGAAGCTTCCTTGTAAGGAGGTGTTGACATTTAACACTCCCCCTCAACACTGACTTCTGCTCGTTCGTTGTTCTCGGCCACCTTACGTCGAAAAACGCATCTTCACATTGTTGACGAGCGTTTTCGGAACGGTTAAAATGGTAAATGTCGTAAGTGTAAAACTGGAAACAAAGGAAAGATGAGGCTTAATTACGATTTTTTTAAACGATCACGAGGTCGGCCTCTCGTACGAGGTTGACACTTGCGATATACTTACAATTCTTACAAGAGACTTATTACAGGTCTTTAGAGAGAGAAAGTAGAGAGAAAGCAGAGTTAGTTGAGATTCAACAACCAAAATAAATGAAATAAGCTGCTATTTATAGTGGTCTTAAATGAGGTACTATTCAGCTACTGTTCACCGGTCTTCTCGCACAGTGGTTTTGCAGAGCAGTTCGACGTCGTCCTGACGTCCATTTAATGCGATTTGAGGTTTCTTCAATCATTGCCTGTCAGGCATTTAATGCGAGCATGGGGGCATTTAATGCTGGCAGACTTTTTTGACTAGGCTTGCTTATAGAGTGCTAGGCTATAACAACCCGTCCCATCATCCAATGATGGCCTTCCACGTGGGAATATTTTAATGTGTGCCGAGTCCCACCCTTTCCTTGGTGGCCACCCCGGGTCTCCAGGTCGGCACTTTTAGCGAACGTGCTCATGGGACAGTCGGGGACATACTTTCAGCCCGACACTCACTCAGGTCGGCTCATATGCGTACTGGGCTGGGTGCCGATCTCGAGAAACGTTCTGACGATGGTCCTGAGTACTTCATTTTTTGGTTCATTTTTTGCCACGTGCCTTGCTCTGATTACTCGAGATGATTACTTTATATTCAACAATTTCAGTGATGTTCGGGTTAATTCCAATTGGGTGTCGGGGATTCGGGTGACGAGTGTCGTCGTTGGCGGGCCTGATTTCGTCATCCTTGTCGGCGTAATTGTCTGGTGGGGGTAATTTCTCCAAGATTTTTTGGCGAGTCCTTGAAATCCTCTTCGATTTCAATTTCTTCCGAACGCGTTTATTTGTTATGTGAGATTCGATTGGTTTTGAGCTGCAGAATTGGGGGTTTGGTGGGAGGAGGAGGAAGCGGCGGTGGGGATGGGCCAATTGGAAGTCGTGGAGGTGGTTTTGCTCCCGTTGTCGAGGGAAAACAACAACAAGAGAGTTTCTTAAAGGCTGAGATATTAGTGATAATTTGGGGCTCGACAAATGTTATAATTTTAATTGATTTTTTTTTTGCCACGTCCACGTTTGCAATGTCATGTCAACGGAAAACATACCTAAGCTCGTCACGTGCGGGTCACGTGTGACTTCCGACAACAATATTGACTTTGGGCGCCGAAAGGACTAATATTGCGTTAACTTTTAAAGTTACATGACTAAATAGGAAAATGCTCCGATCTGAGGATTAAAATGGCCACGGGTCCAAAGCAGCAAGACCAAAATTGCAATTTTGTCAAATAAAGCCTAAATAATATCTTCATTAAGGTTAATGTGGTAACTTCTACACACAAGCAATGGGACCCATGTCACCACACATCACATATCTCTCTTCCCATACACACACCCATGCCACGTCACCTATCTACATGCACACACATCATCACAAACACACGCCAGACACACACAAACATAGGCGCACATGCACACACACAACACATGCACATACATCAACACACATACACATACACACATACACACATACACACACTAGACACACCCTAATTCACAAACAATCTGCACATACACGCCCGACACACAAAGTTCACACACATAGAGCACAGTAAGTGGATTTACAAGATTAAATATCGATCTGATGGTTCTGTTGAGCGCTATAAAGTGCGACATGTGATTTTAATTAGGTATCAATCAGGTCGAAGCCATTGATTATCATGAGCCTTTTGCTCATGTTGCCAAAATGGTTACCGTGAGGACTTTCTTAGCGGTCGCAGCAGCTCGGTAGTGGGAGGTTCATCAGATGGATATTCACAATGCCTTCCTTCACGGTGATTAGCTGAGGAGGTCTACATAAAGCTTCCCCCTGAGTTTCATTCTGGTGATGATGGACGGGTGTGTCGTTAGCGTCGCTCTTTGTATGGTTTGACGCAGGCTCCACGTTGTTGGTTTGTGAAACTAGTGAATTCTCTCCGTCAGTATGGTTTTTCTCAGTCGCACTCTGATTACTCTTTGTTTACCTTGCATCGCGGTTCTGTGCAGTTGCAAGTGTTGGTGTATGTTGATGATCTTATTATCTTTGGTAATGGTCCTACATCCATTGTTGCCTTTAAGAGTTACTTGAGCTGCTGCTTTCACATGAAGGATTTGGGCCTCTTGAAGTATTTTTTGGGCATTGAGGTTGCTCGTAACACTTCTGGCATTTTTCTATGTCAGCGGAAATATGGTTTGGACATCATTTCTGAAGTTGGCTTATTGGGTGCCAAGGCTGCGTTTCCGCTGGAACAGAATCACCATCTTCTTGATGATACTAGTCCTCTCTTGGACGATTCGGAGGCCTATCGGCGCTTGGTTGGTCGATTGATTTATTTGGCGGTTACGCGTCCTGAGTTGTCTTATTTTGTACATGTTCTTGCTCAGTTTATGCATCAACCTCGACAAGCGCATTGGGAGACTGATTTGTGTGTTGTTCGTTACTTAAAGGGATCTCCTGGGCAATGCATTGTGCTTCATTCTGACTTTGATCTTTAACTCTCTAGATGGTGTGATTCTGACTGGACGACATGTCCCCTTACTTGTTGTTTCCTCAGTGGCAATTAGGCCAGTCTCCTATTTCTTGGCGTACCAAGAAACAACACACCATGGCGCGTTCTTCTGCTGAAGCTGAGTATCGGGCTATGACTACAATCATTTGTGAGCTTAAATGGTTGAAAGGGTTACAAACACAGTCTTGGTGTGTCTCATTCGCAGCCTGTGCGTCTTTAATGTGATAGTCAGGCAGCGTTACATATTTCTCATACACTAATTATTATATAATACACACTCCCACCCACTCAATATAATTCTCACGCACTCACACTCAATAACACTCACTCACATTCACTCATTGGACACACACCTAATTACAACATTATTGTATATTTATACTACAACAAAGTCGGTGGACTAACCGACATAAGAATTTCTTCACAACTCTAGAACCATCACATTACTCCTAACATTGTTTAATTAATTTAATATTGAAGTATCTAAAATATCTATGCATCTTCCTATTTCTTTAATCCACCTAGAAGCTTCCTTGTAAGGAGGTGTTGATATTTAACACTCCCCCTCAACACCGACTTTTGCTCGTTCGTCGTTCTCGGCCACCTTACGTCGAAAAACGCATCTTCACATTGTTGACGAGCGTTTTCGGTCAACGGTTAAAATGGTAAATGTCGTAAGTGTAAAACTGGAAACAAAGGGAATATGAGGCTTAATTACGATTTTTTTAAACGATCACGAGGTCGGCCTCTCGTACGAGGTCGGCACTTGCGATATACTTACAATTCTTACAAAAGATTTCTTACAGGTCTTTAGAGAGAGAAAGTAGAGAGAAGACAGAGTTAATTGAGATTAAACAACCAAAATAAATGAAATAAGCTGCTATTTATAGTGGTCTTAAATGAGGTACTATTCAGCTATTCGTTCACCGGTCGTGTCGCACAGTGGTTTTGCAGAGCAGTTCGACGTCGTCCTAACGTCCATTTAATGCGATTTGAGGTTTCTTCAATCATTGCCTGTCAGGCATTTAATGCGAGCATGGGGGCATTTAATGTTGGCAAACTTTCTTGACTAGGCTTGCTTATAGGGTGTTAGGCTATAACAGTCCGTCCCATCATCCAATGATGACCTTCCACGTGGGAATATTTTAATGTGCGCCGAGTCCCACCCTTTCCTGGGTGGCCACCCCGGGTCTCCAGGTCGGCACTTTTAGCGAACGTGCTCATGGGACAGCCGGGGACATACTTTCAGCCCGACACTCACTCCGGTCGGCTCATACACGTACTGGGCTGGGTGTCGATCTCGAGAAACGTTCCGACGATGGTCCTGAGTACTTCATTTTTTGGTTCATTTTTTGCCACGTGCCTTGCCCTGATTACTCGAGATGATTACCTTATATTCAACAATTTCAGTGATGTTCGGGTTAATTCCAATTGGGTGTCGGGGAATCGGGTGACGAGTGTCGTCGTTGGCGGGCCTGATTTCGTCATCCTTGTCGGCGTAATCGTCTGGTGGGGGTAATTTCTCCAAGATTTTTCGGCGAGTCCTTGAAATCCTCTTCGATTTCAGTTTCTTCTGAACGCGTTTATTTGCTATGTGAGATTCGATTGGTTTTGAGCTGCAGAAATGGGGGTTTGGTGGGAGGAGGAGGAAGCGGAGGTGGGGATGGGCCAATTGGAAGTCGTGGAGGTGATTTTGCTCCCGTTGTCGAGGGAAAACAACAACAAGAGAGTTTTTTAAAGGCCGAGATATTAGTGATAATTTGGGGCTCGACAAATGTTATAATTTTAATTGATATTTTTTTTGCCACGTCCACGTTTGCAATGTCATGTCAACGGAAAACATACCTAAGCTCGTCATGTGCGGGTCACGTGTGACTTCCGACAACAATATTGACTTTTTGGGCGCCGAAAGGACTAATATTGCGTTAACTTTTAAAGTTACATGACTAAATAGGAAAATGCTCCGATCTGAGGATTAAAATGGCCACGGGTCCAAAGCAGCAAGACTAAAATTGCAATTTTGTCAAATAAAGCCTAAATAATATCTTCATTAAGGTTAATGTGGTAACTTCTACACACAAGCAATGGGACCCATGTCACCACACATAACATATCTCTCTTCCCATACACACACCCATGCCACGTCACCTATCTACATGTACACACATCATCACAAACACACGTCACTATCTACATGTACACACATCATCACAAACACACTCCAGACACACAAACACACGCGCACATGCACACACACAACACATGCACATACATCAACACACACACACACACACACACACATACACACATACACACACCCTAATTCACAAACAATCTGCACATACACGCCCGACACACAAAGTTCACACACACAGAGCACAGTAAGTGGATTTACAATATTAAATATCGATCTGATGGTTCTGTTGAGCGCTATAAAGTGCGACATGTGATTTTAATTAGGTATCAATCAGGTCGAAGGCATTGATTATCATGAGCCTTTTGCTCATGTTGCCAAAATAGTTACCGTAAGGACTTTCTTAGCGGTCGCAGCAGCTCGGTAGTGGGAGGTTCATCAGATGGATATTCACAATGCCTTCCTTCACGGTGATTAGCTGAGGAGGTCTACATGAAGCTTCTCCCTGAGTTTCGTTCTGGTGATGATGGACGGGTGTGTCGTTAGCGTCACTCTTTGTATGGTTTGAAGCAGGCTCCACGTTGCTGGTTTGTGAAACTAGTGAATTCTCTCCGTCAGTATAGTTTTTCTCGGTCGCACTCTGACTACTCTTTGTTTACTTTGCATCTCGGTTCTGTGCAGCAAGTGTTGGTGTATGTTGATGATCATTATGAAATGTGGTGTAATAAAAGCCGAGGGCACATCCATGGGGATGGAATCATCTCTAAAGAGTAAAGCCCAAAAAGCTAACCACAGTAATAGAGAATCAGATACTTTGGGCAACTATTACAACTTTATAACTTTTCACAATAATTATAGACTAGTACAATACCCGTGTACTACACGGTATTGAGTTAAAAAATATATGATAAAAGCTAATGTTATAATAATTTTTTATTTAAAAATTTTGATGTAGTAATTGATAAAAAAAAAAGAGAGGAATAAACAGTGCAGTAAGTGATTTGTAAATAATATGGTAAGATTGCTACTTGCGCAAACTGAGAATAAACTGTGTACTAAGAGAAAAAAATAACAAAATTAAATATATACTTACCAAGTTTGGAAAAGGTTAATTATGTCTAATACCAAGCCAACTTTAGAGCAAAAATGAATATATAAACAATATTACGAAACATATATTTTCGTCATGTCAGCATTCGAAGCGCGAGAAAGTGACATTTAGGCTTAACATGTTTTGAATGAATATATAGGGAGTGATTACGAAACATAAATTTTTGTCATGTCAGCATCTGAACCGCGAGAAAGTGTCATAAGCTCATACATGTTTTCAATTAATATATAGGAGAATGCTACCATCCCGTTACGGGATGGTTCCGTTGTGTTTTTAAGCGTTGGATTAACTACCCATCACTAGATTACATGTATATCTATGGCTAGAAAACAAAACGGAACCATCCCGTAACGGGATGGTAGCATTCTCCTAATATATATATCATGCAAGTACTTTTTTTATGTCACTAAAGAAGAAACAAAGCACTAAAAAAAACTAATAAAAAAAAAAAAAGCAATATACTTTTAAGATGGTAAACCATTGTTTTAAGGGGGAATAGTGTAACTATTTGGTTCTACGAAAAAGTTCATTTTGGGCATTCTTGTAAGCAGCACAAGCCACGAGGTAGATGAAGATGAGAACAATTAGTGTAACAATGAGTATTATGTACGTTTTCCTCCATTCTTGTCTCAAGTTTCCGAGCAGGCCGGCCTTGCACGAGTCACAATTGTAGCACAACTCTCGCGGGTCGTTGTTCCATATGGCGCAATCCGCATCTGCCGCGAAGTTTGACGTGCCCACCCATGTTGTTGGGCCGGTGTATTGGAACCCACATATTAACGGTGGCTTACAACATCCCGACTGTAGAAGTTGCAAGACGAAAGCATTAGGGCACATATTAAAACGTCCATTGTCGTCGTGTTATAAGGTATACATTCAATTTCAAATAGTCTATCATTAATTAGGAGTGACATTGTAAATTCTTTACATATCTTTAGAACTTAATTAATTCAAGGTATGTTGCATAAATACTCAATAAATCAGATTAATTTTAATAAGTATATCATTATAAAATGAGGTGTAATGAAAGCCGAGGGCACTAATTTTTTATGGAAAAAAAAAAGAAAAGTGGTGGACAAAAAAAGAAAAAGAAAAAAGAGGTGGAAAAGAATCAAAAGCCCGTATTCCTTGAATACGGCTTTTGAAAAAATCATTTAGAAGACGTATTTTGTGAATACGTTTTCCTTTATAAAAAAAATGTGAAAAATGTATTCAGTGAATACGTTTTCAATTAGATTATACAGAAAATGTATTTTGTAAATACGTGCTTTTTATGTTGATCCACTCCCCCTTTTTTTTTTGTATTTTGTCCACTTATTATTTTTTTACTAATAAATATATAAATTGCTCCATCATCCATGGGGATGGAATCATCTCTAAAGAGTAAAGCCCAAAAAGCTAACCACAGTAATAGAGAATCGGATACTTTGGGCAACTATTACAACTTTATAACTTTTCACAATAATTATAGACTAGTACAATACCCATGTACTACACGGTATTGAGTTAAAAAATATATGATAAAAGCTAATGTTATAATAATTTTTTATTTAAAAATTTTGATGTAGTAATTGATAAAAAAAAAGAGAGGAATAAACAGTGCAGTAAGTGATTTGTAAATAATATGGTAAGATTGCTACTTGCGCAAACTGAGAATAAACTGTGTACTAAGAGAAAAAAATAACAAAATTAAATATATACTTACCAAGTTTGGAAAAGGTTAATTATGTCTAATACCAAGCCAACTTTAGAGCAAAAATGAATATATAAACAATATTACGAAACATATATTTTCGTCATGTCAGCATTCGAAGCGCGAGAAAGTGACATTTAGGCTTAACATGTTTTGAATGAATATATAGGGAGTGATTACGAAGCATAAATTTTTGTCATGTCAACATCTGAACCGCGAGAAAGTGTCATAAGCTCATACATGTTTTCAATTAATATATAGGAGAATGCTACCATCCAGTTAGGGGATATATATCATGCAAGTACTTTTTTTATGTCACTAATGATAATTGGCAAAAAGGACGACAACTTTAACTTAAAAAAAAAAAAAAAGAATTACCTCAATCGGGGAGAGATGCGCGGCGAAGAAGTCGGCGGCCGAAAAATATTTCCGGGCGAGATTGGGGCATATGTGGGAGTCAGCCAAACACGCCCTTATTCCCCCCCAGTTATCGCTCCCCGTGACATGGTCCCTGAGCCAGTACGAGAAGCCCTGGAGCGTGTACTCCCTGAACCCGGCCCCGGGCACGTAGTGGGCCCCATCGGGTCGGGTGACAACGAAGGCAAGTATTAGGAGGACGAGGAGAAGTACGATGAGGATGAACATGGAGACGAGGTAAAGGCCGAGGAGGCCCTCGTTCTTGCAGCGTGCCCCGGCGAAGCCCGTGAGGGCTACGAGGAGGAAAGCGAGGCCGATGAAGAGAAGGGGCCAGCGGAGCCAGCGGATGCACTCGTTGTCGGGCTTTGAGGCGAGCCATAACCCGGTCGAGATGATGGGGACGGAGCACATCAGGGCAACGAAGTTGAGTATGGCGGTCAGGTTGTTGCTCACTGCCATGTGTTTTTTTTTTTTGTGGAGTGACTTGAATGAATAGTTAATACAGAGAATATATAACATAATCTGTTCTCTGCTGTCACATAAAAAGATGCCTCTTCATCTGCATTATGGTTTGAGCATTTTTCGAGGGCCCCGGCTTGGTTTAGTTTTTTTTTTTTTTTTTTTTTTTAATCTTTTTTTGGCACTAGCGTTGTTAGATTTGCGTGGTCAAACTTTGTGGAAATACGAATTTCTATGTGAAATTATTAGAAATGTTAAAAGAGCATACATTTTAAACTCGGCCCGGTAATCGACTCAGGCAGGTCTCTGGGTCACCGGGTCACCGGTTTAACCGTCAGATCACCAGGTCAATTGTTGAACCGGATAAATAATTTTAAAATTTTTAATATTATATATATAGTATTTTGTCATATAAATATACTTAAGGCAACAAAATTAAATATTTTGTATGTAAAATTTGTAGATTAACGTGGTAATAATATATATTTCATGATAAATATTACCATATAAATATATATAAATATATATACATAGTTTTATTATTCACAAATAAAAAAATATATATATGGACCGGGTCAACCGGGTTGACCCAGCCGGGTCAATGCTCCGGGTTGACCGGGTCAAAGTCGGGTTAACCGAGTTTTGACCGGGTTTGACGGGGTCCTTTGTCGCCCGGTCCAAATAGTCCATCCAGACCGATTCTGACTCCAGGTCGACCGGGTCCCGAGCCAACCCGCCGATCCGGTCCGGAGCTCTGGCTTTACCTTTGGTTTTGAAATCACAAAATTATCGGTAAAATCATCATCTTACACTCTTTGGCGATTTTAACCAAATTTTTTAATATTAGCAAACAAAGGCATAACCTTATCTAAAAACCTTATCTAAATATTGCCACTGAACTCAAACCCCTCAACAGAGATATTTTTACCATGTGTCCAATTGTGACTCCTACGTGAACAAATTTTCTGGCTGACATGGTATTTAGTTAAAGACGCAGTAAAATTAAACAAACACATTAAAAATATCACGATTTTTCCCCAAAAATCCCCAAATTCATTTTTTTTAACCCAAAATCCGAAATTCATCGCCACAACTGGTCCTTTTCCTTAACTTTTACAACTTCGTCACGATCACCCAAAATTCACTGCGTCTTCATCTTCTCAAGCCCAACATTCTCTGAAAAATATCCTTCTCATTTCGTACAAGACACAATTCCCAACGTAGCGAGTCTTCCAATTGTCCTGTGCGGAAGCAGTGCCATCACGGTAAAGAGGCGTATGTTCTTACCTCCACAATTATTAATTTGCTCTACATACACCCTTGTCCTGAAAAAGAGAATTTATTTGTAGACTGATTGACATGCGTTATATTTACGTGTATTTTATAGTGATTTCCGTGTCCGTTTCGTCGTAGTTTAATATATAATTAGTGATTATGTAATTAATTATTATATAATTAATTATATATATAATTAATTTTATTAAACTATGATGAGGTGTTTTATTTG